ACTAACGTTGTATCGTTAGAGTGCATTGGACAACTTCCCGGAGTTATCCCTGGTGACCGAAGCAAAGAAGGATGAAGACAACCCCTCCTTTAAAGTGCGATTAAGCGGAAAGGCCTACAACAGGAAAACCATGAGGCCTTCCAAAGCCGCCAGCAAAGTACCACTGGTAAATAACACAAAACAATTCACTTTGGTAGGCAAATCCATGGTTTTTGCTGCTGTCAATATATAAATACAAATATAGTTTAGCACTAAAATCTTGCAAAACTATAAGTGTCATCAAATTGCTCATGCCTGAATTTGCACTTCTGGCGGCTGCCCAAATGTAGCACCTTTGTTCCTCTCTCATACCTGTACTACAAGGTCTGGCCTCTAGGTGGCAGCCGTGTCTCTGAATACATTTTTCCATGTTCTCCATATTGGAACTCAAGCTAACAACATTGAATATTTGTTTCCCTGAATGTTTTTCTAAATAGGTATTTTTTGTAATCTTTTAAAAAAAAGTGCCTAAGAGTAGTTCCATCTTGTACAGGAATACACAGTGGACAAAGAGAAGATACAGTGGATCTCACTGTATCACTCGCTTCAGCACTACAAGTACCACACATATCTGCTGTGCAAAGACGAGGTGAGAGAGCATGTTCCATTCTGTGGCTCCGTTTCATGTTCCTGGGCCCCACGAGTCTCCCGGTCCTGGTCCCTTTGTGTCTCATCCTCATCCGTGCTTTAGCATATCTTGCCCTGTGTCTAGTGTATATGTAGCTGATTCGATCGCTGGATTGACCTGCTGATGTATTTATTAATACCTTATTATGCCCCCTTTCCGGGCAGATTGCATCCCTGCAGACGGGGGGGCAGGACCTGGGCCAGGAGGAGACCGTGCAACTGTGCATGCGAGACCGGCGCTGGGTGGAGAGCCTCTTTGACAAGTTTGGCCACCTACTGACCCAGGTGCAGCAGACGTGTCTGTAGGCAGAGCAGGAACGCCCCTCCCCCGTGACTGACACAGGTTCAGCTGAGTGGGGACGCCCCTCCCCCGTGACTGACACAGGTTCAGCCGAGTGGGGACGCCCCTCCCCCATGACTGACACAGGCACTTCACACTCTGACGGGGCTTTTTGAAAGCACTATTGGACACGAAATGAGGTCCAACTCGGCGTGCTGCTGTCCGGGTCTTATGTGCCCTTAGGAATTTGGTATTGGCCTCAGTCATTAGAGGCCTTAATGCCAGAAAAAAAGTCATTAAATCACATTTCAGGAGGGTTGTTAGACTTTTTATTTTGATGGCCATGATGGATCAAGCATAGGAATCAACACTTTGGTTTTATATTAGTATGTCTCATCACAGTGTATTATCCAGACAGGTCAAAGTGAGGACTGTGTGTAGATATAAATGCCTGTGTATGTGTAATGTTAATACACACACATGATGTATGGAAAGACATCCATTCCTACAATGGAGTGCCAAATTTATGTAGAATATTGTATATTTTGTAAAGAGAAGTTTTGTCAGTATATTGTCAAAGAGAGAAATTTACAATGGGTAATATAGATGCTTCAAAGACTCCTTTCATTATATAACACTGGTTATACACCTGAAAATGGAGTTGGTGCAATTCTAATACCACTTTTTTGTGATGTATTTTTATTGTAATGAAATGCAATTACCTGAACTATTTTCTCTGTTTGAGTAAAAAAAATCATTTATACTTTGAAAATGTACATTTTATTCACTAATAGGTGTATTTTTCACAGAAGAAAATATTGTGGTCCAGTTTGTTCCATGTACTTTGTAATACACTTTTATTGTTCTCCAGAGAAGTTATAGACCCTATACATTTATATGTCTATTTCCTATTGTACACTATATATCTTAAGATAATCTCTTTGTTATTAAAAGTTGGCCTCAATTTTAACCAGAAAATGCTTACAGTATTGCATTAGTTTTGCTTTACAAGTGTAGCCTTGTTACACACTGCAGTTATTTTCTGATAAATGAAAATAAATTTCCTACTAAACCAGACCACCTGAGCCTCATTTTTTCCTAAAGCTGCTATAGGTTTTTATGGCCTCCTGTAGACAAATGTCATCTCTTTTTAACTGTGGTGTCACGTTTCTTCACATTAGCACTGTCTGCATGCAATCTGACCATCAGATTGTTTGCAAACGTTAAATATCTAGAAATATCGGATATCGACAGCTTGCCGTGGTGGAAGACGGGAGGCAATATCACATGCATAACTTTCTGGAAAACTAAGCCATGGGCTCCCTCATGTGACACAATGACCCGAGAGAATGCCCTGTCTGTCACTGTGTATGGATATGTGACCCTCCTTTTAAATCCACCCTATTCAAATCCGGCACTCCATTCCAAATCCAGCCTGTGTTTTCAGTTTTCCCCAGGCAGTTAGTTAAATAATTATTGATTCTGATTGGCCAGAGGTTTCTCACCTAGCCCACAGGTAAAGGACAGCTGGAAAATCAGCAGTGCTTGGCCCCTGAGGACTGATTTGAATAGTTCTGCTTTAAATGCACAATTAATCTATCTATTCGTTTATTCTCTTCAGTGTTACTTGGTGGTTGACAGAGACTAACTGGTTACGTCAGCATTGTGTGATGCTGGTAGCATTTTGTGCTAGGCCTCTTTCCTTTTCTCACCCTTCCAATCTGAAGGTAACTTTCAACATGCAGAAACAATACTGCTTAATGAAGTTAGTTATTGCCATCCAGTTAGTGCTAGTGTTAGTTGTCACCTTTCTTAGTAAGAAATAAAAAAAGAACACAGAAGCTTTTATAATGTTTCTATGGATATTTTCCTGCACTATCTACTCAAATAATAGGCAATATTGTTAAAGAGAATGTGCTTCTGCAACAGCTTCCCCAGTTAATTTCCATTGATTTATGCATTCTTGTTTCCTTGTCGTAAATGGGGAACTTTCTGGGGACACGCTAAATAAAATATGACTGCATGGCGCAATGCAGCCGCTTCCCAGTTCCTGCACACAAAAGCACATCTGTCAAGTCGGGCTCAGAAATCAACGAGAGCACTGTCACTAATGGTAATGTCTGCCCAAGTGCCCAGCTCAGAATTCCACTCTATGTCACTGGAAGAAATGAATGTTTGTTAAAAGCCAAATTTCTGGATGAAGCTGAACATGAATGAATATCGATTTTGTACATAGTTTCTCAAGTGGGCTTGACCTGACAAACCTTTTGTGGGTGTGTGTAGAACTGGTGGATTTTTCTTTGCTTGCACTGGCCTTTAACATAACAGTAATTCAAATCTTTCGCTGATAATTGCTGATAATTACAAAAAAATGTTTTGAGAATTGCACCAGTTGGAATGACTTTTAACAGATCTTCAGTACTTTGTCCTGTCCTGAGCAAACACTAAAATATGAGGATGTTAGTTAGAATCATGAACTTGACTGAGCCATAATGTGTATTGTGATGACACTGGATAATCAGGCTCTCACTTGTTGTCTGAAACTGCTCACAATGTTTCGTACAAACAGTTCTAAGCTCTGTTCTCACAGGTCTCTCCAGTCCTGTTCGATGGCACTCATGCGGTGCCCAGGGCCATAACCAGGCCTGACTATTCTGCTGATGACAACACAGACAAGCCGATTTACAAAACATCTCCGTTTGGGCTGGAGCAGCTAAGAGAGCTTGTCAAGCCAGTTTGGGTCACTTACGGTACATATCCAAGCCGCACACCGCGCTTCCGCTCATGCTTTCAGCTATTTGGTGTTTCAGTTTACTGCAATATGTTTAATTATACTAGTACTCAACTGCAAAATAAAGGCATTATTTTATAGTGATGATATTTACATTATACATGCATGTTAATTACTAATTACTAGTACTAGAAATATTATACAAACACATTGCTTTCATATGGTTTATGTAGTCAGTCTTTTTCGGTTTGAAATGTAGCTATTTTGCTTCTTTGGAAGACTGACAGGTCTGGTCTGCTTTCTCTGGAATGTGTTTGACACTCTAAGGAATGGCAGTTCTCAGGACGCCTCAAGTCAGACCAGTTCTACTGCATGTTACCTTTTCCTTTGTATTTGTCTTTAGACCTGTAACAGTGACGCTTATTGGTCTGTTATTCCTAAATAAAGTCAGAAAGGCCCGCCCTTCCTTATAAACGGCAACATAATCTTAATGATCTCAGAGGCCTGAAGTTTCTATCCCTAAGGACACCTTTATGTCATCAATGGGCTGTTTGTGATCGGGAGGTAAGTGCAGATTTTGACTTTATCTTTTTCTTTGTTAAATTTTTGTCTGGGAGCTACCTAAAATCCTTAGGTATGTTGCAAAATATACAGGGGCTCTTTTAACTGGGTGTCCCTTTGGAGGAACAGAGGAAAAATTGCCACAAAAGTGGTAAAAAGGTAAAATTATCGGGTTTAACATAGAACTGAAGAAAGATCTATTGATCCATTAAATATTACAATTTCCAAATCTTCCCACTTCAGACTTCCAGCCATTGCCTCTTGCTCATAAGCTGTTTAATATCTCCTGATGTGTACGGATGCCTGTGACTTTAATGGATGTAAGGGTACAGTAAGTTTAGGGGCCGCTGGCTCCCTGTCCGCCCTATAAGAGGCGCTGTAGCGGCCGCTGTCGGCGGACCCATGGCTTCAGTACGGGAGAAAGCGGCTGCTCTCAGTTTCTCCGCAGCGTTTTTCAGCCCCAGGCATAGACCACCCGGTAAATTGTCTTTATTTAATTTTTTACGCTGCGTCGCAACAAACTTTGTCGGGTTTGGACTATACCGCGTTTACTATTTAATGATTTCTGTAGATTCCCGTTTGTCTGCCGCTGTATGAACTCTATGCGTAACCCGTATAATCAAATAAATTATATAATTGTAGAATGATTGTTCAGAAGAAATGCATGTATTAGAAATAAGAGGTGAAGTCATATGCTATTTCTCTCTAAAAGAGTGAAATATATTACTTTGCCTACTTTTTGTGTCTTTGAAAAGTTGCGCCCGCTCAGTCATTTCAAATACAACTGAATATTTTATAGTGTGAAAAAAACAAACTAGTGTTGAACTTTTATGGATAAGCGTTTAATGCGGGACGTGCTTTCCCCGGGAACCGTGGCGTTTCCATGATAAGATACCAAACCGGTTTGCCCGGTCGCGGTCAGTGGAGAAAGTAGTGTTAATCAACCCGCCCATCATAAACTTAACCCAGCAACCCACTCTAGCCTGAGCTAGAACCATAAAGCGGCCAGTGCCGCAGACAGCGAAGTCCTGTAGGTTACAAGAAAAGTGACCTGAGTGAGGTACTTGATGAAACGGATCGTTTATATATTTCACACGGACGCGACATTAGAGCGCTGGGTAAGTGCCTTTACAAAGTGACCGAGAAGTGCGACGGTTCTTAAAGCAGAGAGTCTCACACGGACGCGACATTAAAACCTCCGGACGCTTATGGGATTACGGTGAAGTCAGTTTCGCTCCCTTTGCGGTTATTTACCCGTAGTTGTGCAAACAAACCGCGCGTTGTTACCCCTGACTGAGCGTTTAAATCCCGGCTGGCTGAGTTAAATCCCTCAGTCCGGGCAGCTGGGGGAAGAGCTGCTCTGAAGCTTAACTTTAATTACCAATTTGAGATTACAACTTTTAAAAATGATATTCATTATATTTCATGGTTACTTGTTGAACTGGCTGGTCATTCAGATTTTACAGAATTTCCCCCGGGATCAAGAAAGTATTTGGAATGTAGATGAGCTAACATTGTTTTAATGGTTGTAAACTGCATCAGTATTCATTGACGTTGGTGAGTTTATGCACTTGTATATGCTAATATTGTACAGCGAATTTTTTTAGCCAAGATGAAGGAAATGCCAATGACCCTACTTTGCTAATTAAATTTTATCTTGATAATTTCTCTTCCTTATCCTGGTATACAAGCATTTAGTGATGTCTTGTTTTATTTTGCACAATTTTCAGTACCTCCTCCCTGTTCGATGTCAGCATAGGTCTGTGTACGTTATACCCCAAATATAAAGTATACAAATAGTTAAAACCCTCTTCTCCCCTGTATTATAACCACCACCCACCCTGGGCTGACCGAGCAAAGCTCTGATCAAGTGGGTAGATGTTATGAACTTGAACTGGGGCCATCCATTGTAGGGGCGTACAAAATGGGGTGGGTTTAGTGATGTCTGAATCTGTAGCGAGTGTCTGTTCTGTGTGCTGCCTTGAGGAACATGAGCAAAGCCTCAGAGACATTGCTACAGACTCGTCATTGTACTGTATTTCGATGGTTCTTATGACAGAGCAGCCTGCAGGACCTGAAATGGCCCTCTAGTGCACTCATCGGACATGGAAGGAGTTGGTTTTGGCATGGAATATTCTTTACTTGGGGCTTGGAACCCATGCTGTTCTTTGCTTTCCTTGAAAATGTTCAAAACATTGAAAATTTATGTTTTGTGTGCGGAATACTCATTGGTCTCTAAGTAAGACAGACAAACGGCATTTTTTTTTTTTTTTTTTCCATTGTTCATTTGTAACTTTCTCTTTAGAAGATCACGGGATGGCCAACAAGCCATTCCGTGCGACGTTTATCTGGAGCAGCATCATCGGCAATCTGCAGACAAACGTGGAGGTGAAGCGGAGGCGACACAACCTCAGGTTCCACAATGACTGTTTCCTGGGCTCGGAAGCCGTGGACGTCATCCTAGCTCACCTCATCCAGAGCAAGTTCTTTGGAGATGCCGAGATTCCCCGGGCCAAGGTGGTCCGAGTGTGCCAAGCTCTGATGGACTGCAAGGTGTTTGAAGCGGTGGGCAACCGAGGCTTTGGCAAGGAGAAGAAGCGGATGACGTTTGAGGACAGCAGCTGCAGTCTGTATAGGTTTCTGAACACGCAAACCTCCTCGAACAGTCATTGTTCTTCCGGTGTGCAGAAATCGGTGTGCACTACTGCATCTGGACGGTATGATACTTTTTTTGCTTTTATTTTACATTTTAGAAATTTTTAATTATTTATTCTGGTCAAACGCATGGTTCTTAGATTTTACATGTATGTTTGATATAGACTCAAAGTCAAGTCACACACGACTGGTGCTTTACTCTGAGTAGCTGTAGTATTTCAGCTAGGTAATTGTATGCACCAGCCCGCTAGGAGCAAGAAACGAATTTCAGTTTGTAATAGTACCTGGGCTAGATGATCAGTGGCTATATGACACCCAGACTTGTGTATGTTCTCTTGAATCACCAGGTCAGACGAATCATTATATTCAAACACCACGCCTGTCAAAACTGACAAGTCTTTTGAAGAGCTTTTGGGAAACTTAAACCTGAATCCGAACAATACGGCGCACATTATGAACCCAGAATTATCTCAGCCATGTGAGTGTTTCTCTTGACTGGAGCTCATAACTATCTGAAACACCATTGACACAAACTGTAATTTGACCCTATGCCTCTTCTGTTTTGTGTGCCTTTTAAATACAAAATTAACTTTATGCAATTATTGCGTTCTGGTCACTTCTTAATGTTTAGCTGTTTTCTGGCATCGTGCTGCATGCTGGTTATCTGCTTGATAGCGTGTTCCTGGTGACCTTGTGGTGTAACGTCAGGATTTCTGCCTTTCCACCCCATTCCCCCCCCAGTGGTGAATGAAGTGTGGCAGGAGCAGACAGTCCTGCGGTTACTGCAGCTGATAGAGCTCCCCTTTCTGGATAGTTTGTTGGAAAGCAAGCCAGGCCCCCAGCCCCAACTTCACAGCATGGACAGTGACCCCGACTTGTTGTACACCAGCAACTACTTGGACCGGGAGATCCTGAAGGCCTTCAGTGACTCTCAGTATGTGCCAGTTTGGTTCCATTCTGTAACCCATCGGTAGCATTGTGGGTAGTTTCAGTGCCAGGTCTTCAAGCTGGACTGAGGTTTGTTCATGTTCATTAAATGCACATAGTCATTTTCATCAGCCACTCCACATATTGGAATTCCACAGTTGACACTGAAACCTAGAAATTGCACCATGGGTATTGAATCCAGTGTGCTCTGCCATGTTGTTGCTGTCTTCGCTCTCTGCTACATGCCATTGTTGGACCCTTCAGCCTTGTGATTATTTTGTCGTCTCAGTACTGGAGTTTGCCCTCTTCCGCAGGGCAGACTGCTGGCTTTCGGCTGCCGTCAACTGCCTGGAGTTCCTGCCCGACCGGCTGGTGGTGGAGGTGAGCCGTGGTCTGCCAAGGTGCTCGGACGACACCCAGCAGTGCAAGCGGCTGCTGTTTGACGTCCTCGCCAAGCACTACGGCCACCTGCAGCAGCCGCCCCTACTCACCAACCGTCTCTTCGATATCCATACTGGTGTTGCAGAGCTGCTGGGTAAGGGCGTCTTTCTCTGAGGAGTCCATCTCCAGGCGGCTTGGTGTCTGGGGTGTGTTAAGATTTGATTGTATTGCATGAGATCTACCATCATTTTATTTTGGGTTCATTGCAATTGAGTTTTGAATAATATTATAGTCTATTTTAGGGAAATAAGTGAAATAGACAAATATTTTTTTTAAAAAGGAATTACCCGGGTTAGCCTAAAACGATTAAATGAGGGATGTTAGACTGCAAAGTATATAAGAGCATAAACTAGATTCAGGAAGCAGGCTTGATGCTGCTCTAGACTTGATGATGTGACAAACAAAGGGGCTGCTTCACTTAAACAGGAAGTGGAACCTGTGCAGTGTTGCACGAACCAAATTTGTGAATAGGCACCATTTCAGAACTACACACGACATAAGAACTTTGTGTAGCCTATACATTCAAAGATGTCCAGCTAACCTTGTTTACTGCCTCTGAGCTGCTGTGAATGTCAGTGTGACAACCTGATGTGTAGAGTCATCAGTACATGAAAGAAATATGGAGAGGAATGGGGGGGGTTAAGAGATGCATTTTTACAAAATCTTGGGTAGGCATGTGCCTCTCAACTGTCACAACCCCACTGATAACCTGTAACCTAGCAAGTCATGCAAATTAACACTGAACACTAAACATTTTTTGGATTTTTTGTGATTTCCTGATGTGGGATCATGATTTGCATGCAGTAGGATTTTGGTTACTCCCATACTATTACAGAAATGGCTTTAAACCTACTACTAAATCTGATGACTTGGTCAAGTCCTGTCTGTTCCAGGAACACTTTGGCTAGCGTCATAGCACACCATGCTCCCAGAATGCCCTGAGTTTTGCACTTTCTGCTGACTGAACAGTAGTCTTTTAAGGGTCTTGTTTTTTCCTTTTAATGTTGTTCCTGCTCCAATACTGCTCCAACTTGGGGCATTCATTAGAAGCTCAGGTAGAATTGTTGGTAAAATTGTTTTTTCAAAGTTGACCCCATGCTTGGAACTCTGCACTGAGTCACTTGCCTATCGTTTAATTCTTCAGCTCATGACTGTAACATGGCTGCTATGTGCAGAGGAGTTTGACCCGCACATGTTCTGTAGCTGACATGGCCGCAGATCTTTTAGGCAGAGGTAGAGATTTCAGGTCCTGAAATCTCCACTTCTGCTTTTCGCCTTGTGGTTTTTCCACAGTGAATGGGAAGCTGGAGCAAGCCCTGGAGGCTTTGCAGCTATGCTTGAAGCTGCTCAACGAACGCAGCCGTGAGGAGCTGCGTAGATTGCTGTGCTTCATGGCTGCAGCTGCAAACCCAGCTGAAGTCCGACTGCACAGGGAGGTGAGGCTGCACATCCAGTGTGAATCCTGATTAACACGTCGATGTGGGCTCACTTCAGAATCACATCACTATTGACCTCATTGTGATGTCCCTCATTCCTCACCTGTAGAAGGTTCTCTGCTGAAATATTTAAACACCTGGTTAATGTAATATTTTCAGCAGACTGTTCCCAGAATTATTCAGTGTAATTTGGTTGTATTTTCTAGATCGAGAACAGGATGGCGGTGAAACGGGCATTTTCCAGGGCAGTCGTCAACCACAAAAACCTAGCGAAGGGAAAGGTGGATCTGCTTGTGCTTTTCATGCTTGACAATCATTGTGATTTATTCAAGGTACTTTATTCACGTGAACTCCACAAATCACCTCTCGTATCTGATCGTTATGCAGCCAGAGGATTTGCTCAGTCAGAGAGCAGAGATTGTTTACACTGGGTAGCAAGCAGATTCTAAATCAAACAGTGGGCTTGACCTTGAATTATTTGAAGGGCATTTTGTCCCCCCCTTTTTTGTTTACTCTTCCAGTAAATCATGAGCTCTGGTGAGCACATTTCCTGCTCTTCATGTGAATATCGACACCCTTTTGTTCATTTCAAAGACTAGCTACATTGCATTGGAATAATACAAAAAAACACCTATGGTCCTTTCTAAAGGGTTAATGTTTTCATACATTTATGATTAGCTTTGTTTCCTAACAGATACCCGGATCATTGCACAAGCTGGTTAGTGAAAAGCTTGCAAGCCGCCTACAAGGAAAGGAACCAGATTCAGTAACAGGTATGTCCCATGGTCATTTGCATAGGACATTGTGCCTTGTCGAAAACCAGCATTAAATGATGCACATCTTTGTACCTACAGGTTCTGCATTTTGTCAGCGAGTCTCAAGCAAAACTTACACAGAAAATGTTCAGAAAGCTACAAAGGAGGAGCTATGGGCATTACTCAGGACTATTCACGAGAACCCAAAGCATTCTACAAAGGAGAAAAAACGTTTGCTTGGGCAGTTTTACAAAGGGCATCCTGAGATTTTCATGCAGTATTTTGAAATCACAAGTTCAGCTGTCAATATGTAATTTAAATTTACTGGTATATGTTGTACAAAGTAATGTGTGTGTGTGTGTGTGTGTGTATAAACTGTTTTTGTCAATGTGTAAATTAAAGTTATAACTGAATAAAATGTTTTATAGTGCTGTATCCATGTAAATTAATACTGTGAATGTTTAAAGCTCTAAAATTTGCGAGGATCTGAAAAACTGAACATACGGAATGTATGGTATTTTATAGCTGCTGTATCCATACTTAACTGTAGTCCTGCTTTGCTCATACATACCCTGTATTTCATTCAGTTCCACATAAGATGGTTAGCTTGTCCAACAAAATCTACACAAGTTTAGTATCAAATTATGAAAAGTGATTGTATAAATCAATACACAGTTATGCCCCACATACGGCATATATGGATTTAAATTTTAAAAGTGAGTTTGACAATGTCGTAATGCTATTCAATTCTAATTACTCGCGGTAATTGCTAATTTTTTTGCGTTTATAAAATGTGCTGACATTTTATCTGAAGAGCCTGTCCGGGATCTTTACATGCCGAGCTGAATATTTACCATCCCCTCATTTGATAGGTCAACTGGACAACAGCCATTGTCCTAAGTGCAATGAAGCTGGGAGTCTACGTTAATAATCACTGCAGGCGTCGTCCACTTCCACTCTGAAGACTCCTAGCCACGCCGTTGCCCCCTGCAATAAAAAATCCCCCTGCGATGAGCGGAAATCTGGCCGGACGATCAGCTGCCCTCCGGTAGTTGTAGTTCAGTTCTCGTTTCAAGCAACACCGAGACTCCGAGCAAAAAACTACAAGAGTCAAACTGATCACTTCCGTAAACAGAAATGGCAGCATGTAGAACATATGAAGGAGGGCGATGCTATTTATATATTTAATGCTTTAGGCTATATTGTGGCAAAGGGCACATGGATACCTATAAAGTCCTCTACCATAATTTGACCGCTAACGATTGATTGCTGTCGGCGGCTGTGAGGCGTTTCTGCCGCCGAAATCTGCAGGCATCCAGTCATCAGTCTTGCTGACTATAGGCGTGGACATTATTGAATCACGCTCCCAAATTTAGAGGTGAGTAAAGGTAAACGGGCGACATAGCTCTCGTATGGTAAAGCGAAGCTCTTTTTCATTGAGGGATTCATCGTACTTGATGCAGGCACCGGATTTATATTTTATGTTCCATCGGTCCATAATATCCAGCACTTTCTCACAAGTGATTTGAAATTAATATCCTTACAGGGTTATAAATTCTCCATTATAAAAGTGTAATAGACGCCATAACGATATTAATAATGTGAATGCTACACAGAGAGTATGAAACTGCTTGCTTATTTTGTTAATGATAAATATAGGGAACGTTATAACTACTTTCCATCCATCACCGTAACCGCTTAATGCCTAACGGGTTCGCGTGGGTTTCCGCCGGGGGTCCGGTTTCCTCCCACAGTCCAAAAATGTGCACGATAAGTTAATTGGCGAATCTAACTTGGCCCCGTAATTTTGTGAGTGTGAGTGTGTGCGCCCTGCGGTGTGTTGATGACTGCCCAGGGTTGGTTCCTGCCTGCCCCCATTGTTCCCGGGATAGACTCCGGTACCCCCCCCCTCCGCGTCCCCAGTTGGGATTAAGCGGTTACGGTGATGAATGGATGGATATTACTACGTTTCTGTAGTATACCAATATTTGTAAGTTATGTAGCTTATGGAGCATATACAATAACTTAATTGTGTAATATCATGCTGGAGATGCCAAATAGTGTGTGTAACTGCAGGCAGTGTACTGTTAAGTTTCGAAATATTTTATTATAGTTGTATTTGCATATGTATGATAGTGTAATAATCTGATACCATAAACACGATATACATTGATCAGCTGTAGAAGGACCCTGTGTTTTCTTCAGTTTTGTCAACAGCATTCCTTGGCAGAAGACAAGCATGCCAAACTCCACTGATAAGCCCAGTGAAGAAGAGCAACAGAAAGACTCCGGCCAGGCTGTGGGGGGCGCTGATGCCCATGAGCCGTCTGAGCAGTCCCTCAGAAAGAGGGATCGCCAAAGCACGCCGCACTGTAAGCGGTACTCTCACATACCTTATCACAGCTTAACTGTTGTCTGAAACTGTTGTGCATTACAGACCTGGCAGAAGAGTAGCCATGACCCAAGCAAATCAAACTATTTCCGTAGTGTATATCACATATCAAAGGTCCTTAATCCATGTGGTGTGGTCTCCTCCACCTCCTGCTGCTCCTGTCTGTGGCTCAGTGTTCATCTCATGTGATGTCTGCGTGTCCCTCACAGCCAGCCCCCCCCGCTTCGTGTCGGTAGAGGAGTTAATGGAAACTGCTAAAGGCGTCACCAACCTGGCCCTGGCCCATGAGATCGTGGTGAATGGCAGCTTTCAGGTGAAGCCCACACAGCCTGCAGAGGGCAGGTAAGGCTTGGAGACACCAGAAAGGGTCAGAAATGTTCTGCATGAAGAAACATTTGAAGTAGGCTTTAGTTATTAGGGTTTAGTTAGTTATAATTTAAATAATATAGGTGAATGATAAACGGTAAAATTAATCTTGGTTTCATAGTTTCTGCCACCACAAGTTCTGCTATGTATGTATTTAAAATTCTTTGCTGTTATTGTGGCATCTGATGCCGAACGATATCTATGGACAATAAAATGTCCCACTAGTTTGCAGAAGAGAGTGAAGGACATAATGCACAGAGCATTCTGGGACTGCCTGGAAGCTCAGCTGAAGGAGGACCCGCCGATGTATGACCACGCCATCAAGCTTCTGGGAGAGATCAAGGAGGTGCACTGTCCTCCAGCATCGTATATTATAGTCATTATAATTGGCAACACAAGTTAATACATAGAGATCATTCAATGTAATAAATAATAATAAAATACACAGAACTGCAGAACACAGAATAGAGTATGAAATCAATATGCAAGTAATAACTAAATAAGAGTGCAATCTTTTTAATAAATTAAAAGCGGTAGGTTAAAAGTAGAGGGAACTAAATAAAAGTGAAAGTATTGTGGCAGTATTACAAAGACAAAGGAAAGTAAACTGATTTTTTGTATAGAGATAATGGCATCTATCTTACCGTCTAATGGGTGACCTGGAAGCCTGGAGAAAGAATGAACAGATCAGGGTTAATCCTGACTTTTCTGTGAGAGTGAGGGCATCCACCGGCTGTTAGTGCAAATGTGCTTGGTTGGTGGGCGAAACCTGGCATCTCCTCCCCATTGAGAGAAGCTATAGGTTAATCGCTCAGATTTCACCCCCCGCTGTACCTGTCACCAAGGCGACATCCAGTTACACATATAGGCTGCGGTGATGAAGGGCCAGGCATTGTGGTCAGTGAGCAGGTACCTTTTCCATCTCCATCTCTGTACCCAAATCCAGGTGACCCCCCTCTTACCCGACACCTTTACCCACCCTCCGCCGTTCACAGACGCTGCTGTCCTTCCTGCTGCCAGGACATAGGCGCCTGCGGAACCAGATCGAGGAGGGACTCGACCTGGCCCTGATCCAGCAGCAGGCTGAGAAAGGCACCCTGGACATCAATAATGTGGCTGAGTTCATCATTGGCATGATGGGGATGTTGTGCGCCCCATCTCGAGATGAGGAGATTCAGAAGCTGCGGGCCATCACAGGCATTGTGCCCCTGTTCAGGTATGACAGTGTCACAAGAATGATTGCAACAGCATAAGCAGTTCTTCCTGATGCTTTTTGTGTGTTTTTAAACTCTCTCGCCATCTCTGGTTAACTTAAACAGTTTGGAGTATTTAATACTATAATAAAACTTACCTTAGTTATTTTTATGGATTTTTGTTACTGTGTTCCTGGACACATGGATGGATGACCTGTGTGGAAAATGGAAAGATAGATGGACTTTATGGTCATGAGTACATGCAAGAACATTGAAAAAAACAGCATGATCACTTTTCTTGTTGCCTTTGCATTATATGAATGTTATGAGATTTGTCTGATGTGTAAGATGTGATTGAATGGTCATTTTGCGGTTGGCGACACAGGGCCATTTTCCAAGTGCTGGACCTGATGAAGATTGACATGGCCAATTTTGCCGTCAGCAGCATCCGGCCACACCTCGTGCAGCAGTCAGTCGAGTATGAGCGGAAAAAATTCCAGGAGTTCCTCGATAAACAGCCTAGTGAGGAACTTCTGCTTTTTGTCAGTCGTGCTTCTTTTCAGACGTGAGAAATCACAATCAGAATGCAAAATGCTGCTGTCCAGCTGTTATTGACCCACTAAAGCCATCGGTACTAAACTAGTGTAATATTTTCAAAATATTTAATCCAGAAAGTAAAATATTTAGCAGTGACTTCCATTATGATTGTGTTACCACAGTAAACAGTTGTTTTGCACCAGTGTTGTTTCCATGTACAGATTCCTGGAACGACCCGTGAAGTATGCTGCTCTTTTCAGATGCCCTCGATTTCACCCAGAACTGGCTTCAGGACACAGCCAAAGTCCTGCTCAACTGCAGGTGGGAGGAGCAGGGCCCTGGGGTGGAGGCTGCTGCCCCCAGAGCCTCTATGCTGCCCCCCCTCAGCCTACATAATCATGCTTACCTGCGTTTGCTCAAGTGGGACCATGCTGCCGCGCCCTTCCCTGAGGTACACGACAGGCCACAGATAGCGGGAGAGCTCAGCATAAGAATCAGGGTCCATTTAAGTGTTCTGGTTACACTGTAGTGCACAAGAGTTTGTGTGTGTATTAGTTTGGTGTCTCAAAAGGAAGTTCTAAGGAGGATGATTGAGGCCAAAGGTCAAGAAGCCATATTTGATGTAAGAGATTTGTGAAATAGGGATGCAAGCACATTCCAGATACTCAGCTAGTAAACTCTGGTGTGCTATTATAAACACAGTTGAAATTGTAATAAGGAAACAAAAAGAGAGGCTTTTGAACTTTCTTTGTAAATACATGGCAAGTTTGACTCATACAAGGTGTCTAATTAGAGATTAAGCTTAGCCAGTATTCTATCGTTAGGTCATTTGCACAAAACTCGTGCAAGTATTTTTTTGGCTAAGCTACATGTTTATGTGTATTTGTTGAGTGTTGCATCATATCATGTAATCAGGAAATTACAGAGGATGATTCTCTCCCCCCCCCCC